CCAAAAATAGAGAGTAGATTTTAGTAATGTTGGCCACAATTTCTGCATTGATAGGTTACTTTAATAATAAATAATAATCTGGCAGCTGTCCTCTTCCATTGCTGAGAATACTGTCACATACGTTCAGCTTTGAATTTATTTATTCAATTTCTTTCCATCTTCTTTTACTTCTTTTTGCCTGTTATGTATACTGTATCAGTTGCCTTAAAATATCATTTTAGCTACCTAACTCAGATCTTAGGTACAAGATGTCCTGTTTGTAATAATTATTTGACAATAAAATTTTCTAAAATTTTCATTGTAGTAACAATAATATTTTAAAAGCTATATTGGTGAAATGAATCCTATTCCTCTTCAGAATTTAATCTATCCTTTCTATTGGCATTGAATTAATTATGTTGAGTTGCCCCTTAGTTATTGGAACTGTTTGGCTAGGGTTGTTTCTGTTTGTTCTTTCTTGCAGATTCTCTAATTCACTTTATTCAGGGTTACAATCATAACAAAGATGATTTTTGCAATACATTTGAAATAGATGATGTAATTATTTGCAGCTGATTTCTGTTTCTTTAGTCTCTCTTCCTCCTTGGGTCCCTATCTTGATACTACCACAAACATCTGTGCATTGATACATACTATCCAAATCCCCAATCGGTGTTCCAAGTTCAGTTCAGTATTCAATGACAGATGACACATAAAACTGCACAAATAAACTTGATACAGCTATGCATGCAGTCACGTCTACACTGTGTTTTACAGCATTTGTTGCTCCAGTTCGTATCCAGGCATCGTAGGATGCATTAGAAAGTAATAGAAGTGAATATAAAAATAAAATGTACCCTATTTTTGCAATGTGTGTGTGGGAAGGAGAGTTTGTACCTTAATGTTGGAAATATGCAATTAAAAAAAATAAAATTCAGATACATATTAAAAACAGGTATATAAAAAAACACAATTTCATAATGCAGAGGTTTTATGTTAGCAGCAAGACCTAGTTCTTTGGACAGTCACAGGAGGATAACAACACGCTATATAGCAATTCCACCACAGAATGTAAACTGGAGATGCAGAAAGAGTTAATAGCCCTCTTATCCCTGACACTGTTTTCATCATTTTTGCTAGGATTAAATCCATTTATCTCACTCATTGGCAGGGAACATTAGCCACACCTTGCTGTCAGTGGCCTCAGAGAACAGAATCTTTCTTTCCTCAAAATTTATTTGAGAACAACAGTGCTTTTGAGATACCCTTATCTGAACACTTGCAATATTGATATGCCATACAAGGTTACCTATTACTAGCTCCTGAAGATCCCAAGAAAAAACACTAGAAATCTGAAATGTCAGATCAGCCCAGGGGCCTAACATTAGTTAACAACGTTCATTAACATATAACTGTTGGGTGGTAAAAGATTTGTGAACTTTAGAAAAAGAGGGTAGATGGTATAATTAATTTAGTTTTGTAAGGCAGGGGTTCCCAATCCCTGGTCCGTGACCAGTATCGGGCCACGGCATGCCAGCAACCAGTCTGCACAAACAAAGAAAGCCTGCACAAACAGGATGCAGGCAGCACACAAAACGATGCCTTCTCCAGTCCGGGGAAAAACCTTTCTCCAAGTAACTAGTCCCTGGTGCCCAAAAGGTTGGGGACCTCTGTTGTAAAGTATTTGTGACCCCAAGCACCTGTCTTATATTTGCTCATAAATGTGGATGTGATTCCTTGGTTGGATTAATTTGTTGGTTTGTACATGAATGAGTCGTTGCCTATAGGGATGGGAATAGTCTCTGGGAAGATTTACAAAGGCTTGATTTCCCCTTAAGGCGACAAATGGCTAGGAAAGGATGCAACTGTGCACAGAACTGTGCATATTGGCAGCTTTATGGCTTCTAAATTTTGTAGATTTATTTTAAAGATTCAGTTTAAAAGGTTATAACAGATTAAAAACTGAAGTAAGATTTATATTTAACATTATCTAAAAGTTAAACATTATATCAGTGATACATGCATATGGTTTCCTCTGCCCAGTATGCTCCAGATTTGAGGGGCCCACCATTCAGAATCTTCAGAGATGACAGGCTAACATACTATAAATCTCCAGGGTTCAAGTAAAATTAATTTATGCTTTCAAATACATTAAAACAAATTTCTCATTTCAACTATGCATATACCAAATTTCAAAAGTATTTTATAATTCAGTGATGTTTTCCATCCATATCATTATTGCAGTATAAATTGCAAGTTTACAGATTTACTCATGGGAATGAAGCATATATATTTACAGTAAAAAAGTATTTTGTAGTTTTCCAAGCAAAAAAGGAAAAATATCTCATATTCCAGAGAGTAACTATATCTGTAAATGGATGAGAGATTCAGTTCTTAAAGGCTTACTTTGAAAAAGGTTCAGTTTCTAACAAATTATTAAGTCATTCAACTGTTACATCAACAAATTTATTTTTATGCCACCTTTATTATTTTTTAAATAACTCAAGATAATAAGCATACCTAATATTCCTTCCTTCTCCTATTTTCTTCTCAAAAACAAGAAGAGGTGAGTTGGGCTGAGAGAGAATAATCAAAGTCACACAGCCAGTTTAGAAAATTTGGAGTCACTCCAGCTAAGTTAATGGTATGTTAAAGTAGTGGGTAATCAAGAAAAATCTACATAAATATTTAATTTTTCTCAAGGCAGATAGGTAGTCTCACAAATGTTTTTCTCCTTACCATTACATACTGCATTTTCTTCAAACCATCAAACAACTATAGGCAATATAAAAGCAGTTGTACATTCTTAGCTTCTCTAGGCTATTTTAAAAAAAGTAAACTAAACTTCTGAATAGTGGGAATGTCAAAATATTGAAGAGATCAGTTTTGCTCAAACTGTATTATATTTCATCTAAAAATGGTATTAATGTTTGTAGATGATAGCTTATAATTATGTCAAAATATTCTCCTACAACAAATCTCCTGGATTTTTATATTATTGTCAGGGTGCTTAGTAATTTGTTTTGAATTTTGCTGGGTGATGTTTTTGTATTGTTAGAATAGAAAGAATGTGCTACTAACATGTTCCGTTATATAACTTTCCATTATTCTGAAGTCTTCCCCATAAAATATGGTAAGCTAGGAAGACTGCAGTCTCCTAATGAGAAAATTATAGGTAGTCCTCAGCAATTGGGACCAGAATTTCCATAAACAATCATAAAGTATGTTGTCACATGATTGCATTGCTTAACAACAGCAATTCCAGCACTCTTTATTGCATTGTTATGTAAGGACATGAGTCGTTAAGTGAGTCCCAGGTAGCTTACAAGGAGACTGGCAGGCAGGGAAGTCATGAAGTCATCACAGGAGTGCTGTGACAACCATAACTTCAGGGACCAGTTGAACAATCCCCCCTTTCAGTGCCATCATAAGTTTGAATAATCATGGTAAGCAAGGGATTGTCTGTGTACAATAAAAGACCCTAATTTCCACTCCTCATCCATCTCATATTATGTCTAAGAATACACATGATCATTTCACTAAAATTATCCTTCTTGGAAAGTCACTTAAAAATAATCTATTTTTCAAACTGATGAAAATTGTGGTGGTGGTGGTGGTGGTGGTGGTGGTAGTGGTGGTGGTGGTGGTGGTGGTGAATCCATACAATGCTAATAATAATTTATGAAATCCAGGGTGACATAGGATGCAATTCATTCATGTCTTATGTCTACAGGAAAACCAGGAATGGTATACTCTATTATTGTAATAAGGTATTGTTTCAAAACCTTGAAAGCCTGACCAAGTTTTTCTCTGACCCTCCTTATATTAACAAAGTCATATAATGAGTTTCTTTCTTATGCTCTTTTCAACCTCCGGGGTTTATAATTGATTCTCCAAGTTCCTTCTAAATGGTCCTTTCACACTAAGCTCATTTTTAAATGTACACCAACTTGGGACAATCACTCAGTTCTTTCTCTTTTTTTTTTCTTTGTTACTATGTTTAAGACTCATTTTTTTTCCTCTCATTGAATGAGAAATTACATTATTACTTTATATATTACAGATTATTGTTCTTCAATAACTTTGCTTTTTTTTCCTTAGCTATAAAAATGGATGGTTACAGTTGTTTGGAGGATAGGAAAAGGATTTGACTTTTCAGATGCATATTGTTGCTATCCAAACTACAGTGATATTTGTTGAAGTGTTTTATGAATGAATAATTTGAAAAACACTTTTAAGTAAATATCATTAATACTGATCTGCAACATACATATTCCATCCTAGCATACAACAGCATTGTTTTCTCCATTATACCTAGCATTATTTGGTCATCTACATTCCACAGAGAGACAGCACTGGGAAAACATACATTCTGATAATTCTGATCAAACAAGTCTTGATCACACAATTCCAGTAAAAAAACATTCTTGTGATTATTGATGCTTACAAAAACATTTTCTCATAAATTATGAGAGAAGCCTCTCGTAATTATATTTCATTGTGATAAAAGACATCGTTACTTTTTGCATTAGGGTTTTCCTGTTGATTTTTTTGTATTTAGTGTAACCCAGGGTGTGCTTCAATTACTTCAGAGTGATAGGATTGTCATCATTCAACAAATCATTAATTATCAACCTGTCTTTAATTTAAAAAATGTAAAACTAAAAAGTGAATAAATGGAAGAAAAAAGAAAAGCAATATCGATTTAATGATTAGTTAGTGACATTCTTGTAAAATTATATGTTAATTCAATGTAGCTGGATACTACTAAATGTTAGGATAAACTGATATAAACAAAATTGATTAGTACAAATTTGCCCAATATGCCTTTCTAAAATGATTGTCTTTTATTCTCAGTTCTGGTCAGCTTCTAAGGATTTTATTTCCAGAACATAATCTTGATATCACTACTTTATAGGATTTGGACTGTTGTCCACTATTGGTTTTTCCTTAATGAGGCATAACTCAATGGTAAAATCTTGGTTTTGATAACCACATATTGTCTGTATTTTTATCTGCAGATTTTCCACATGACCTACGATCTAGCCAGTGCTGTGGTGAGAATCTTCAATCTCATTGGAATGATGTTGCTTCTTTGCCATTGGGATGGTTGCCTTCAGTTCTTGGTCCCATTGCTTCAAGATTTCCCAGAAGATTGCTGGGTGTCCCTAAATGGTATGGTTGTAAGTATTGTTCATTTTTCATTGTGTTTTTTCAGACATTCTTTTAAGCTTTTGAAGTCAGAATGGTAAGGAAAGAGAAGTTAATTAAGTACCTATTGTATTAACAGTGGAAATATTGCCAATTGCTGAGTTTCAAATCTGTCTCAGAGTGGAATGTGAAAATAAATTGAAGGACTAGAACAATAATGCATAATTTAATTGATTCAAGGATTTGTTTATTTCAGGAAGGGGTTTCAGATATTTTCAAGGAAGAAGAAAGAAATTTGGCTGTCATATTCTAATTTTTACAGTGCAAAATCAGGCTCCGGGGTCCATAAAAATATGCTAGTGAATTGCACGTAGATACTATGCCACCATTTCTGCATCCATAAAAAAAAAATATGCTAGTGAATTCGTGTAGATACCATGCCACCATTTGTGCATCTTTGAATAGGATATGATCAGTGTAATAGATTAAATATGATCTTCAAGAACGATATAGGGTATTTGCTGGTGGAACATAAACCATTCGTTTTCTAAAGATGGTAAACATTAAAAACTTCTTAGAACATGAACCATCAATTTAATTAGTGTTGTTGCTCTTACACTACGAAATGAATGTAATTTAAGTCTATAAGCTGCCAACTTCTACCTCCATCACATTTAGAACAACATGATACTCATTCTAATAACATACTGGTGGAGAATAAGTCAGATCATCTTCTGAATATATTGAGCAACCATAGAAGAACTGGAGTATAGAAAACATCATTTTCCATTTAAATAAAAAAATCTCTTCTTCCATAGCTGAAAAGCTTTCAACTTTCTTTGCTAAAACTGATTTTTTCCCTCCAATATAAAATGTTATTTTGTAATAACTTAAAAATTTATTAAAAATAAAAAAGGTATAAAAATAAACTGAGTAATTTATTGCTTATTTTTTGAAAAAAATGGTTGTTCACAGTCATAAGAAGCTGACTAATAAAGTAGGCAGTTGGGTAAAAAAAAGGTTTAAGAAAATGATAGTATAAAACTGAATATTGTCTAGTAGCACATACTCAACAAAATTAAAATTAAGGAGAAGTAGAGTTGCAATTAACTGGCTTAGTATAGCTTATGTAGTTTCTTAATCATATTCTCACCCCAAAAAGTAACTTTGGAGTGTTTGATTAGAAAGGATTAAGCAATTGCAAAAATTGTATCAACATGGCTGCCCAAAAAATTAACACTTATTGGTATATGATTTTTTTATTGAATAAACCACAGTTGACTCGTATGTTTTTCTGAGATATAACTCATTATTTACAATGATATAATTCAATCAATAGCCCAAATCAAAAGCAAAGAAACAAACCCCATATCTTTGCTTAAAATATGCAGTTGTTAACATGTTAGCATGATCTAAATGTAGAGTAATTCAATATTAAAAAATAATCAAGCAAGATTTTAACATATTTAAGTAAGAACCATGACTAACTTGAACCAATTATTATCATCTTCCCTCACCACTCTGGAACCAAGAAAGGCATGTGGAATTACTTCCTTCAGGTTTCTTTATTGTTCCTTACCCATAGACAGAACACTTGTCAGACTACAGCAACTGTTTGCATAACTACAGATAGACTCTGAGAGTCACTAGGGAGGAACCGTATTAAGCCTCTACCTCCTATCAAATATTCCATGCTTTGCTGCTTCTCTGCTCTCTGCAGCCCCACCCCTTGGGAATAAAGGCTACATTTCACAACATTTATATGTTTTATGTCAAGTAAAGATCAGCTACAGATTATTGGTTCAGAATATTGGTTTAGTTTTTCAATTTGTATAGATATAAATTTCATATTATAAAACACAAGCATTTTCAATCTTATAAATGTGTCTGAATGATAACATATTTAATATTCTGCTGATGCAAAGCAAACATTAATTTTATTTCTGCAAAATTTTCACTTCCCAAAATAAGTTTTTTGACATAGCATATCAGATAGTAATTTCACATAATGAATTTATGTCAATAAAAATTTAATAGATTAGAATTGGCATAGGGGTATAGGGAAGTGATGCATAATAAAAGGAGAATAATAATTGCAAGTCATTATTCTGAAGACTGGATTTAGAAACTTGATGTATCTAATGCTTGTCTCTTACTGATCTAAAGAAAATTCTAGAATGGGACTTAGCTTGCAGCCAAATATTATTTTGCTTCTTAACCTTTTAATCACTGACATTGTTACAAAAGTTTGACTTTCTAAAGAAATGGCTTTAAATATACCATAGATATGCAGTGTGATTACCTCAATTGCTCTTGGAATATATCTTAACAGTACAAAACTTGAGCCTGAGTGACTAAACATAGAGATGTTTTTCTACTCTTACTTTTCCATGTAGTCTCTTCTATGTTCTTCTATTAGGATGAAGAATCAATCTGGCACTTCTGGAATAGACTATGCAGCCAATTATTTTCCATGGAGTTAGCAAATTAAGTGTAATAATGATTCCATGACTTTCTGTAATTGGTCCAGATTCCTCATCAACCCAAAGGGAATTCACAAGCAGATCTAGGAAATATGAAGGAAAAGTATTGGGATCAAAGAATTAGGGGTCAATATATTGAGGTAAAACAAAAGGTATGCTGAAATCTTAACAATTATTCATATGTATATTTTTAGCTGAAAGAGGCTCTCATTCTCAGAGTGCTTGAGATTTTTTTTTAACCTTGGCATTTTTTATTGTATTGTTGAAATGATGGACAGTATTACTCCAACAGTTTTTGTTTATGCATCTTTCCATTATTTTTAACTTTTTCTAGCAGCCTTACTTCCCAATTTGAAAAAATTATATAAAAATTATTCATTGTATGTCATTGAAATTTAAATGAAGCATGGGAAGCAAAGCTGCAGACTACTAGAAAGATGATTGGACAACAAAAGACAGGATGTTCATTCTCTTTCTCATTCATAACTATGCAGGTGTGAGAACATCATATTCTATCCACATATAGAAATTCATTAAGATTCTCTCCACCCTTGAAAGAAATTTCAGAAGCAAATTCTCTTGCATAAATTGTCAGAAAAAAATGCATGAGATTTTTTTTTTCTGCAGGACACTAAGCAAAACAAAACAGAAACTCAAGAAGACAATTCAAAGAGCAGTTTGTCATTTTAAGAACATGCTTCCAGTTTGGAACAGCTTTCTCTTCCACCAACAGTAACTAATTGATTGTCAGGCACAAAGAAGCTGGTCCGTACTCAGAATTACTGAAAGTTACTCCTTTAATGCAATGCCTATTTACAAGAATCTCCCGAGACTGACTGCATTTTCTTAGGAACAATCAGATAAGCCTCCAGGGACCCTGAAAGAGATAAGGCTTGTGCTGCTTTTTATTGTGCAAGGATTCTAAGCTCAACCCCCTCTTCACATCAAAGAGAGAAGCAACCTTCAACTAAGGAGAAATTTCCTGACAGAACAATTAATCAGTAGAACAACCTGCCTCCAGAAGTTGTGAATGCTCCAACACTGGACAATTTGTCTGAAATGATATAGGGTTTCCTGCCTAAGCAGGGGGTTGGACTAGAAGATCTCCAAGGTCTTTTCCAACTCTATTATTATTATTATTATTATTATTATTATTATTATTATTATTATTATTGTTGTTGTTGTTGTTGTTGTTGTTGTTGTTGTTGTTGTTGTTGAATCTCCCCTCCCATTCTAGCTGGAGATTCTACTGTATCAATAAAGTATATTAATATTGCAGTTTTCCTCATTATTGTTACATTATGATGTCATTTTGTGTTCACAACAGCACACTTATGAGATAGATTGAATGGAACCTAAAGCTGTGTTACCTAATCTCAGCCCAACACCTAAGCCACTAACCTTTTTACCTATGATGATCCCAGAAATTGATAGACTCTAAAATTGAACCCCACTGAACTCTTTTGTTACATTAAACACTGCTTTCAAAATTTTTAACAACTTTTAACTTATTCCATGGTTCATCACACAATCAGCTTTTGTCCATCTATCAACTCCTTCCCAAGGTCTGTCTTTTGTAATTGACTGATGGTGATTTTGTTAATGCTAGTAGTATTCAAATGGTGCTCTAGTTGCTTCTTGACTGCATCCAAAGTGCCTATTGCTATTGGTACTACCTTTGTTTTCTTTATTACTATTATTTTACTATTATCACTGCACCACTTTCATTGTTACTATTGCTCCAGCTATTCCATATCATCATTGACAATTCTATTTATCCATTCTAAATTATTTTTATGTGAAATAAATATTCTCTTCTTAGTCAGATATATCTTCTTTGACTTATTTGTATCATTCATTTTCTCTTTTTTCTTAGTTTTGATTTTTGACTATTGTAGTCAGAGTCTCCTACATGTTTCTACCAATCTGAAGACATTCAGACATTCTTAGCTGATCAGCTATACATTTGCTGACAAGTGTAGCTTTTCAAACAAAATGGTGACATAGCTTCAGAAATGTAATTACCCTAATAAAAAGGTAGGTCACCAAGTTGCTGAGTGGTATGTCTTGATCAACCCCATGCTCTTGGTATTCAGTTTTTTTTATAGCTCCCTCCCCAAACACACAAGAAACAAAAAAATGCACATTTTTACAGAGTTTTGTAAGCCAGGTGTTCAATGAAAGGAACAAAAGCACTCCCAAATGAGCTAGTCAGAATGAAAGAAAGATTTTGTATTGTATCATGTAGAGAGTATCATAAAAGACAGTGAAAAGCAATCCCAGTGCAATCACCTTTGAAACTCAGGGAGAACTAGTTGCCTACGTTACATGGAGTAACTCTACACGTGGTTGTGTAGGACAGAGTTCCAAAGAAACTACTGGGACTTATTTCCACATAAAATCTTCAAGTGAGAAAAGCAAGCAGACAATCATCTCCACTGGTACTTAATGATTCCATTTAATATTTATTTAGTCCTTCTCTACAATTGGCATATTAAAATAATATACATTTCTTTTCAGTGTCACAGTTCTAGATTGTGGTGAAAAAG